AATATGAATGCAATATAACAATTGGAAAGCTTCGGTCAGCAAAGTATTTCGAAAAATTACAAGTATAAACTACCCTTATTAGGGGGTTGTTATAAATTTTCGATATGGTGGCACAGAAAACATGTACCGCACATTCATATTCCAGCTTTTCAATGAAATATATCAATTGGATAGCCTCGGTCAGCAAAGTTTTCCGAAAAATCACAAGTATAAACTACCCTTATTAGGGGGTTGTTATAAATTTTCGGTATGGTGGCACTGGAAAAATAATCCAATCATCCATATTCCAGCTTTTCAATGGAATATATCAATTGGATAGCCTCGGTCAGCAAAGTTTTTCGAAAAATCACAAGTATAAACTACCCTTATTAGGGGGTTGTTATGAATTTTCGATATGGTGGCACTGAAAACATGTTCCGAACATTTATATTCCATCTTTTCAATGAAATATAACAATGGGAAAGCCTCGGTCAGCAAAGTTTTCCGAAAAATCACAAGTATAAACTACCCTTATGAGAGGGTAGTTATGAATTTTGGATATGGTGGCACTGAAAACATGTTCCGAACATTCATATTCCATCTTTTCAATGGAATATATCAATTGGAAAGCCTCGGTCAGCAAAGTTTTCCGAAAAATCACAAGTATAAACTACCCCTAAATGGGGGTGGATTCGGATTTTGAATATGGTGGCACGAAGGCATTCCTCCATAGATATAAGATCTGTATTATGATCTCATTAATCGCACTACAAGTCTCAAATCAACGAATTATTCGATTGTGGTCAGCAAATTACTTTTTCCCTATTTCTTTTATTCACAGAGTGATCTCCAAAAACTCAAATTTTCTGTTTTGCAGTCATAACCTTTTTCCTCGTTAACCGATTTTCCGAATCTCAGGCTCATTTCGAACCTGAAACTTATGATGAAGAGGTACGTACAGGGTGGCCCATTATTGTGAGAAAGTGAGATAACGGCTTCGCTGTTTGAGACAAATAAACAAAAATTTCTGAGATGGTTCAAGCTCATGAGCAGCACATTCCTATAATATTTTGCGTTGAACAGGGTGACTCAAAAATACGTGAAGTATAATAGCTACCTATACTTCTTCTTATAGAACACCATGTATTGTATTGTATTTTCAGATTCTCCATGAGCTGATTTCATCGATCTATCACACTTTAGGTTTGGGGGATGTTATGACAGATTTTGGGGGTGTGAAAAATCTAGATTTTTCAACATTCGGATTTTTTTTGTCAAAAGTACCCATTATTGGTCAAAACGGCATCAATTTCCGCATTTCAACTTTCGATTTACTATCAACTGTCATTTAATTTTGATGGATACAGAGTGATTCATGATTATACTGAATTATCAACCACCCTGTATTCGTTCAAGCCGTTCCGATCAATAATGAGTACTTTTGACACAAGGAATCTCGAAAGATGAAAAATCTCGATTTTCTACACTCCTTATCTCTGTCATCACTTCTTAGAACCAAAAGTATCGAAAATTGAAGAATCTAAATTCTTCACACCCTATATCTCTGTCATAACTTTCCTTCAACCTAAAGTGTGATAGATCGATGACATCAGCTCATAAGGAAGAATCTGAAAATACAATACAATACAGGATATTCCATAAGAAGAAATATAGGTAACTTTGATACGTCACGCATTTTTGAGCCACCCTGTATAACGCAAAATATTTTAGAAATGTGCTGCTCATGTGCTTAGACCATATCTCAGAAAACTTTGTTCATCTGTCTTAAACAGCGGAGTCATTATCTCACTTCCTCGCACTAATCGGCCACCGAGTGGGTCACCCTGTACATATCTCTTCATCTGAAGTTTCAGATCCAAAATGAGCCTGAGATTTGGAAAATCGGTCGACGAGGAAAAAAGTTATGACTGCAAAACCGAAAAGTTATTTTTTTGAAATCACTCTGTAAATGAATTAAATAAGAAGACGATTCAAGAACTGTCCCAAGATAATGAGGTCATCTTCATGATTCTGCTGTCAAAGTTGTAAAAAAAATTTTTTCTTCATTTGGGACCATTTTGAAAATTCCGAAATTTTGCACAGAATCAGGTAACACCCTGTAGCGATTTTATGTGAAGAACCTCATGTTCTGAAGAAGTACGAGATTATAGCTGAAGGACTGAGCTATAGCGAACAGTGTGATCCGAATTCGAATTGTTCAACGCAGAAAAAAGTTATTGATATTTTAATATGAGCAACATTTTGGGGTGCGAAGAAATTAGTGTTGCGTAGTTTATTTTAGAAGTGCAAATCATGTCAATTTATACGTACCATCAAATATTCAAAAAATGATTATTTTTCTTCAGTTCGGGCCCAGCGATGGAACGAAACGAATAATTACGAGAGATTGCCTGTACAATAATTCCAGAACAGAAATTCTATGAAGTTATATTCACAATACGAATAATGTCAATAGATTTTCATATTACTTCCATCGAAATTCATCCACACAAAAGAGTTGAAATTTTCCGAATGAAGAATGCAGATACTATTGCAGAGAGATATAATAAGAATAAAATACTATACACTGTCCTCATAACTTTACTGTGTCCTCTCAACCTCACACAAAAACTATTGAAAATAGCGGGAAATAGCGTCCTCGTAAAGAGAGTCCTCGCAATACATTGTAAGTATGGAGTCCTCGCAACAGGCAAAACTGCAAAGTGTGAAGTGAAAATAAGAGAATTCATTGAGTGTATTATCAAATTTAGATACCATATACATGATAATCGTCCACCACGCATATTTCATGTGCTTAAAATGATTCCTTCACAGGGTCCTCGCTACAGGGCATTTGGTTCAAAGTCCTCATAAACCCCCCCTTCTACGTATGTATGTATGTGTGTGTGTGTGGTTGTGTGGGTACATTGTGGGTGTGTGTGTATACAGGGTCATAAAAGAGGCCAAAGTACCTGTCACGTCCACGTTCGTGAGCCTTAAGTAGCGCAAAGAACAGGTGATATGATTAATGCTATGACAGTTGATAGATGTTAATGTATGTAAATTATAGTATCGAAATTAGGCTTAACTGATCAGTAAACTTCCTGAATTCCTGAATTCGATTTCGATATCTCTCAAGTGCGTGTGTACCTTCTTCGTAGATCTTTTGGTTAGGTTTTTTCTATACATAGCATCAAAGGATTCACGAGAGCGTGGCACGAAAACTACTCATAGAAATCGTTTGACCCCATGGAGACTTTTGTTCAGCACACTCTGAACTACATTCCCCCAAAATTTCAGGTGAGTTGACAAAAATCAAAATTGCATTTGATTTGTGCGGGGTCCTTTGTGAGCAGAACGGCAAAATTCCTGTGAACATTGATGGACCAGTACCAATAGGAGACTCTGGCCGTCATCAAGACCAGTACATGTCTGCCGACACATTCAATTACAAAAAAGACGACCGCCACGGGATACGAACCCCGGACCTCCGTTATCACTTGGTTACATATCGAACTTATATTCCAACTGAGCTACTACACCTTAATTGAAATGATGTTTGTACGGAATTTCATTGATGATTATCATCATCATAACAGATATATACAAACGATGAACAAGGAAAAACATCCGATTCTCCGATTGACTACCCTCTGATACCTATTTTATGAGTCAGACGACTTGCTAATTTTTTTTATGACCGAATTTGATGACTTTCATGATAATATCCTGATGCAAAACGGCAGAATGGCGCAGTGGTCGAGCACTCGACTAGCAATTAGAACGCCGAAAGGTTGCTAGGTTCGATTCATGGCAGAGCAGAGAATTTTCATTTGAAAAAAACGAGTTATAAATTCTAATTTCCGTGGCCACGGCCAGAGATGATTCCGCACAGTTCGCTGTTGCTTTCCAATTAACAGTGCTGCTCCTAAGGTGGCGTATGGAGTTAGTAACAAAGCCAAAGCAGAAAACACATGAGGTGAATGACCTCTCGTAAGGTGGATGGCTAGTTTATATGTACATATACATAGATACCCACGACGGGCATATACTCACTTACTCACCTTATTTAAATGCAATGAATAAACATATTAGTAGAAGTATGTGTTCTTGGTTGGAATATGAATGTACATACCAACTAGTGATCGACCTTACGAGAGATCCTTCAGCTCATTAGTGTTCTGAGAAGGCTTTGTAATTAACTCCATACGCCACCTTAGGAGCATCACTGTTAAGTGAAAAGCAACAGCGATTCGTGCGGAGTTATCTCTGGCCAAGGTTACGGAAATTATAATTCATAAATCGTTTCATATATGAAAATTCCTAGCATACTTTCGATGATGTTCTGATTACCAGTCGAGCGCCTTAACACCTGCGCTATCTATTCCGCTGCCCTGAAAATCAGATTTTTCAATTGAAACTGGAATATAATCATACTCAATTTGGCCCGGTGCCGGCTAGATTCCAGTTAAACGATTTCAATATGCTAAATAATGGGTAGACGATTGTATGACGTAGGCAAAAACATAATACCAATTGACACTATTGGCCTAGTGCCGGCTGAATTACTATATGCCATACAATGGGCCGACGTTTGACCAATGCAGTTTGGCAATGGCCAGCAATCTGCCGATCTATCATGTACTGGGCCAGAAGGCGGCCAGAGATTTGATGTTTGCTAGGAATTAATGAAGTGAATATAAATGACAAAGCATGCGACTGTTCGCAAGAAGATACAGCAGAGCATATTGGAGAAAATATGTTCGAAATAACTTGAGTGAGAATTCAATTTTTTCAAAGAACTTGCCCTGATTTTGGTGCAAAACAAGATATATCCATTATTTTTTCTGTACATACGTAATTGATCCTGCTTATTATCCAAATTCTGATCCATCTGCGGTACATTTTCGATTACTTGAATCAGTCAATAGATTGCCGAAGTTTTCCTCGTTTCCTGAATAATTTATAGGCAAGTGGATATATCTCTTTTCGCAAGCGAACTCCTTTATTATTTCACTTACCGACATCAGTTGCAGAATTTCGTTTTCCGCGGGAAACACGAAACGGGGCGATTCGAAATTGTACTTTTTGATGGTGAATTTACGCGATTGTAGCTGGGAATTCTGAGGCTCTCCTTCATCACTCAACTGAAATTAACAAAATATTTTATAGGTAACTGAATGATTAACTTTCGAGACGTTGACTATCAAATACGTAATTCCAGTAATTAGTGTTAATCCGTGAGAAGTTGTCTTTTTTTTGGAGATGTACCTCTAGGGAATTAGATCAAAATACTTCTCATAGAATCATTTCAGGAAGATATCACGGCTACTCTTTCAATCACTATAAAAGTTAGTATTTTTCCAGAAAAACACATGTGCAGTGCAGTGTCGGTTCATTTGAATAAGTTCGTTCGAATCCCGTGCACGTGATCTTTCTCGAGACACTTCAACTTGATTTTAGATGAACTACATACATTAAACAGTCTTCAGGACTAATAGCTATTCAAATATCAAGGGAGGAAAGTTATCCATTTCCTGCCGCGTGTGAAGTTTGATGCACGACGCGGAGCGGAGGACACTAAACACACATGGGAGGAAATGAACCTTTATTGGTCCCATGATATATATGATTTTATCTACAACGCATTTTTTTACATCATCATTCTCGAAATTGTGCTTCAGGTCTATCTCTCCATTCAAATAATTAAGCATTATAATGGTAAAGTATGCCATGGACAATTGACGGCATTTGAACGAGAGTCAGTTTGACACTTCTGTCATAATGAATCAATTGGTTTGTATATTGTGTATCTGAGGCGCCTTTCAAAATTGTACCCGACCTACAACCGTTTAGTAGAGGTCGTTCCAATTTACAGTTGAAGTTACGACATATGCCAAATATCGTTTCAATTTCCATAGGAAGAACATTCGACAACTATTCATCCTGCTCCAAGAGGTTGGTAAATTTTACCCAATCTACGTTTGGCAAGCCGGACGAGCGTTTTGTGGGTTTTGGTTTTGTAAGCTTTGCGGATTGAGGTTGCGGTTTAGGATTTCATAACAAAAACCAGTGAGTGAGCACAGTAAAAAATTGTGAAGTTCTCCATTTCAATTTTGAAATAATCATAAATAAATAATCAAAAAAATAGAATAAAGAAGTTCTCCTTCTCATAATTGAAAATGTAATTCGCTGATCAGGTCACATTAAGATTGTACCTAGCTGTAACCAAATAACGGATAATACTTGTTTCTCAGTATTAATTTATTATCTTCCTCATTTGCATTGTTTTTCACTCAGTTTGGATCCTACCACTTCCATTGGTCGATCGAAGAAAGTTCTAGTCATAGAAAAATGTGACTGAAATTGGTTGCCTGGGATTATGTTTCCGAAATAATTTGGAATTTTTGAGAAATCCTTCTGGCACTCTTTTGTATATCATTATTAACGTCATCGTGAAAAAATCAATAGAAGAGGAAACTGCAGGACCCAAATATAACTATCTCCATTACTGCTTCATTTCAATGAAAAATAAAATATCAAAACTAAAAAATTTCTGCTCCAAAGAAATATAGGTTTTAGACATGATACTCTCTCCTTTTGCATACACGTTTCAAAATTGATACCAACGGACGTGATCCTGCTGAATACTCCTGACGTCATCTTTTCACCCTTTCTCGGACGTTGGACACATTTTTGAAACGCAGCTCTGCATTTGGAAGTGTTGATTAGAATATTATCATCGGAATTCGAAAGGGATATTATTCTTACTCGTTTTATAATAGTGGTGAAGACATGCTGATTACTTGGATTGCACAGATTTCATAAGTATATCGACGCCAAAGGATGCATGATGAATTCAATTCATTTTACCTTCCACGGGAGGTTTTCCTCTCATGGGATTGAATCGACAACTTTGTTTCTTTTTCTACTCACATAGCTAAAATGGCATTTAGCGTAGGGATATGTGCCACGCTAAATGATCTATTAATCACGGATTGTCGATCTGTGATTTATTCAAAATATTAAACACCTTACCATGGCAACGCAGGTCATCAAATACAGCTTCAGTAATTTGAGACATGTCTGGCCTGCTGTCAACTGTATTAACTGTCAACTGTTATTTTCGAATTTTGTATTAGAATTATTCAAACAATTTTCGTTTGTATCAGAATTCTTCATTAAAAATATATGCGAAAAGTAGACGAGAGTGAAATCGAAGAGAATGTTCTGGTACTTGCCTATTTCCAAGAAGTGTGAAAATGAAGCATCCATCTTCGAGAACAATTTATTTATTCTGCGCTAAGCATGACAATAAACGTGAAACAAAGGTAAGTAAGCAATGGACTGGACACATCTACAACCAATATCACCTATACGTGTCTCGCTTGTTGCATGCAGTTGCATGCATTATTTTCTCAATTCCCATTCCTTTCGAATTATTTTGTAGGTTAGCAGGAATTGCAGGTATATTAATGTAATTTTCGGAGTTCGTAGAAAAATTATAGTATGTAACGCGTTTATAAACTCTTCTAGACACTCGTTTATTAAACACTCGCTCCGCTCTGCTCCGCTCGTGCTTAAACTACTCGTTACTAAAAGGAAGTTTATATCACTTGTTACATAATATACTATTATATTATTCAACATGATTTTTCAACGTTTATATTGAACATCTTCGAATAAACTACTCTGTCAACCTATAGTGTCAAAGGTTTTGTTTCAAATTTAAAAACGTATAAGGGAGTTTTACAAATATAAAACTTATATTTTCGGATTGCATATACATTAGTGTACTTTCTTCTGAGTAGTATTCGGGATAATATGGATCAAATCGAAATGAGGAATGATATATCATTAGTTGAGATTTGTTAGCGTCTTAATTTGAGGGTTGTTTTACTAGGTTTACTGGGACATCTTCACTGAAGATCTCACTAGGTAATCGAGCGAGCAGACGGAAATACACATGTAGGAACAACTTGACCAGAAGGTAGAAAAACTAGGAGGAATTATTATAATCGATATCGAATAATTATGATCGAGGCAGTTGAAGAATGTCCCTTGGAGGCAGCACCGGGCATCGAGTGCGCTGGTGGAACCAGCAGCTGAAGGACCTGGGAAAGCAACCAGAAAGGCACATAATGAAGCCACTGGAACAGGCGACCAGGGAGCGTGGGATCACGAGAAGAAATTTCGAGAAAGAGTTGAGAAAGAGCAAGAGATCCTACTGTGGGGAGATCAGTTTCCTAACGGACTCCGACAGATTCAATAGAATTCTGATCACACAGGCAAAGAATACAATAGGAACTCTGAAGAGGCCAGATGGCACTTGGACAATGTCCTCCATGGATGGATTCGCTCATACATCTGTTGGAGTAGGCACACTTCTCAGGGGGGCAGGGAACGGTGTACTCCGCCATCACTGGGAGATTGGCAGTTGGCAGTTCGCGGAGAAGGTCGTTACTGACGATGTCATTGCCTGAGCAATTATGGAGTTCAACCCATAACCTCACTTTCATTCTGAAAACCTATCAGTCTGACACCATTTCTGCTCAAACCGCTGGAGAAGGCTAGGGTTCCTAAAAGTACTTGACACTGCTGTTTTGCCGTTTTCTTTATATTAGAGTACGGACACTATGACAAGCACTGACAATCAGACATAACCACAGTATTTGATTATTTCACGAGTATTCAAATACTTCTGAAATATTTGAATACTTTTGGGTAATTAAATACTCCGAAAGTATTTAAATATTTCAGATATATTCAAATACTTTGCGAAACTAATTGCAAATACTAAGTTATAAATATATTCCGACAAATATTTGTGAGTATGAATATCGTTACCTGAACCAGAAAGTATTCAAATATTCGGTATTCAGATACCGAAAAGTATTGGAATACTAAAATGTATTTGTAAATACGAATAATGCCCAGCTCTGCCCTCTCATTCATCAATTAATGATGAAAGGACAAAGCAACCAGCCCTTTTGTTCAAATAATAGAATTTTCAAGTAATGACACTAACTGAAAATACACACTTACACCAAATGTAATATCGTAAGTTCCATAATACCCTCTAAGATCTTCAGATGCTATGAGATGCACTCGCTTATGAGTTTCGTTCACTTCGTAGTCACTATCGTCCTTAAATATTGCGAAAATTGATGCGATATCTTCTCCTGTCTCCTCGTTGATCACGCTGGTGATATTGAAATCAATCGTGCCATTCTCTTTAGCATCAAGATCTTTACCAATTATTTCATGAATTTCGGCGTTCTGAAACAATATTGGTTAACTGGTTAAGGAGAACATTATTCAAGGGTAGTAAGTATACCGGAATATGCATCAGTGCCTCAATTTTTATAAGGCAGGTTCCAAATGTAATAATAATATTCAGAATAAAATAAAATTATTCGCCCACCATATAACATAATTATGTCCCTTGAAGGATTGTACACAATGATACCATAGACCCCTGAGACCAAAGGGAGAATAATGACTAAACTTATCTCTACACCAAAACGTTCCGTTTAGCTGCTACAGGACGTTGGAATATTTTTTTTATATTTGTGTAACACTCTAGCCCTTGAATTCGTGGAGAAATGTGTGCCACATATTGCATGTCATTATTATAATTGATGATTTCATATGGACGTTGAGTAAAAACCTACAATAATTAAATACTTCTCAAGAGTATCAGGTAGTGCATCAATTTGGTCAGTTAACTTGTGAGCCAATAGAGATATCACAAACTTCTAAGATATTTAGGTATTGAATGGGGTGATAGAAATCAATATTGACATCTGTCCAGTGGCGAACTCCGAAAAGGTTCTATCAATATTTCGAACAACAGTATATACTCCAGAAATCTGAAATTCTATGTGTCATTCAAAATTGAATGGAATGTTTTGCATGCCTAATAATCTTTCGAAGGTGCCTCAGATTCAGAATGTTATTTATCAACAATATTGAAATATTCGAGAAAATAAACAATAAAATTCAATTCCGACGCCCTGTAGCGGGTAAATGGGGCGTTTTGGTATAGAGGTAAGTATGGAATAATCATATCACTTTGGTCTCAGGAGTCGATGATATTATTTCAAACAAACGTTTCAGAGACACCCTGTAGGAAAATGAATCGAAGCAACCCTGAAAATGTGACCAAAGACAGCGTGTCTCATTTCCACCGGCCCTCCTTCTATATCTCAGCTATTAGTCGTTTCATCTTCATCAAATTTGGACCGGTATCAATATGGTCAGTTTTTCAGAGACGACCATCATTTTAGCCAGTGCCGTGCGTTTAAATTGAATTGAAAAGGGGTCAATTTCTTTTAAAATCATATCAGGCATTTTTTCACAGAAAAACTGACCTTATAATATTGTTTTTTATGGTTTTAAACCCCCCATATGTGAATTTTCATATAATTCATATGGACGAAGTCTTCTCAATTGATATTGCTATTCGAAATATTTTGGATAGATCCGAAAACATCTCACGAAATAACCAATGCTGAATGATACAATTCCATTGTTTTCAATGCATATCTTCTGTAAGACTATTTGACAAATACTCTCCTGATGATGGCCTAGAGCCGAAAACGTTTGAGTTGACTAATAAATATTGATATTGATTATCAATATGTTTGTCCCACTCCAACCTGTCATCAACCAAATACCAAGATATTGTATCTGGTCAGTGTGTTTTGAGAGTTCATTTTTTATTTTAAGGTTGAGGTGAATTTGTTGTTTATTTTCTTGGTGAAAAATCATACATTTTGTTTTGTCAGTATTTATCGATAAAAGGTTAGAGTGGAGCCATTTTTCAAATATTTTAAAGTCTTTATTCATCATATTTTCTACGATTATTACAGGTATATCGAACGTTTTTTTTTAACCAAACTGTTTTATCACAAACCAAACCGATTTTCTAAACGGTACGACAATGTGTTTCGCTAACTATGTCAGCGTGCCATAGTAGCCGGTCTTCGATATTTATGTTTTTTTTTTCATTCATCGATACGATACTTCAATAATATCATAATGGATAAATGCGATGGGGGCGTCTTTCTCCAATTACACAAATTCTATTGTTTCGTAAATCTTGAGGATTTTAATATAGTCAAGTTCTGCTATATAGGTATTCGCGGGAATCAATTTCACCAGGTGGCGCTCGGTTTTCATCGTTCGATGTCAAAGCTACGTCAAAACTGGAGGAAAGCTAACTGAATCCTCACTCAATCCCATTAGTTCCATCAGCTTGTGTACTATGTACTGATAAGAGTGGTAAGTTTTTGAATTTCATGACATTCATTGTCAATTTTCGATCGAAAACGCTAATAATGGCTGTTGTAGATGTTGTTTTGGCAGATATTTTGCTCTATTTAGATGGAAAAAGCCAATAAGTAGTGGAAGGAGAAGCAGTTCTCCGTGCTAATTATGTAATTTTGTGTGAGACAGAAAACTTCTACAAAAGGCACATTTTTGCACTTTGTCTACAAACTCCGGCGATGAAATCTTCCCCACATGAAGTAAAATTGAAGTTGGGGTCCAGAGGAACTCCTGTAGAACAATGGATTTGTATTTTTTCCTGCAAAGCAGGACAATCTGGGTGATGTTGGGCCAGCTTTGCATCTTTTGGAAAAAAATGTATAGACACACTTTCCGAAATATAAATATTGCACTGAGCAGTACTATTTTGATTTATTGCTCGTCATAATTAGTTTGAATTGTTTGTATTATCTCCAATTCTTCACCCGTTTACTGTTCACTAAACTAGAATGAAAATGTAATAATGTAAAAAAATTAACCAACTCAACCATCATCACTACCAACAGTGCCAACACTTTATGTCATTGACAAGTTTGCCAACTACAGCTTCAGCAAGCTGTATGTAATGTAGTCTATGCACTTTATCTATAGACAACAGTTTGTTTTCCCCCAGTTTGAAGTTCGTATTATGTAATCTAGATGTCGCCCACTTCGTGAATCTCGCGAATAGTGATTGATTCATCACCTGACTCATCATGATCCATGGTATACCGGACATCTTGTATATTTTATATTGTATATATTTGTGCGAATGATCCGAACGAATGATTCATAGATACCTTTTCTAGATTTTCATAGCAATCGAAGTCATCCATATCAAGTTCAGGTATGAAGTTATTTATATCATCGACAAATATGATTAGTGTAAATGGTGGACTAGATAAGCTAGGTTCGCCTCTCCAACCTGAAATACAGAAGTTAAATCGAAATATTGTGTTGTTTTTGTCAATTTCTATCATCAAATTATATATTGACCAATAATTCTGAATGAAAGGCGAGAGTTCTAAATTCCCTAACTTGGAACTCCCATGTCTTTCTTTCTCATTTCATGACACCCATGAAGATAGTTGCTGAGAGAAAGAATAGGAGAATTCCATGCAAATAAATGATCTCAATATAAACAACTGGAAGGGAGACGGCCGTTCTCTCGAATAGCACAAAGTGTGTCAGGGGCAGCTGCAACAAAGATAGCATGATTTACGGTAACCTGTCTCTTTCCTACTCGTGTTGTTTAATGGTAGATTGGTGTTTGCGTTTTCTTTTATATAATAATGGAAGTACTTCAGATTTTTATCTCTCATCTAAACAGGCAAGAAAGTGAATACATACGTTCATTGTCTCTGTTTATGTGAGATATCTATTCATTTGGCGTGTTTTGTTTTATAAAAAAGACTGCATTTGTTGGTGTGAACACTGTGAACTGATTGTTGAGGAGGTTTTGATAAACAATGGTGATTTATTGTGTCGCCTTTGGATGCAAGAACGAGCAAGACGAAAGGAAATTGTCATTCCATGGATGAGTTGTATATTGTTCAGATTTTTGGAAAATATAGTTCTTGAAATGATCATCAGTTAGGTGTACAATGTTTTCAGTCTCAGAATATGTTCAAAAACTATACCTATACTATTTTTCAGATTTGAATACTTCCATGACTTTTCCATACATATTAAACATATTAAGTAATATTATTTGTTGCAGTTTTCCATTCAATCCTGTAAGTATGAAAATGAAATTTCATATTTAAGGCAATAAAGAAATCAATAAAAATTTTGTAATGATAATTGATTGCAACATTTTCCTTTTTCCTATATGAATATTTTCATTTATTCACAATTACTCTTGAATAAAAGCAAAAAACGAGAAAATATTTCAAATAATGCCAGCGCTTCCCATTAGCGAACATAAGATAGAGAGAGATAGGCAATATTTTTGCCTCATTCGTCGTTCACAGAGGGTCCCTTCCAGTTGCTTATATTGAGTTCATTGGTGTACTCACGATGTTGTTCTCTATGGAAATAAGTAAAAATTTACCGGGTGTCCCATTCGAAATAAGAAAATATGGGTCATTCCCGGTCAAGCCGAAAATGACAGAAAACAATCGAATACGCCGAATGATGTGTATTTATGTACCAAATTTCAATTGTTTATCTGTATAAACACCCTATGTATTCAGTGGAAACTGTTCGCTGGACAATGATTGTGTATATATGATCATTCTCCATCTCAAAATGGGTATTTCTATCGAAATGCAAGAGTTATCAGCTTATCAGTGATTGAGAAATATATGAATATTATCCAAGGAAGAAGTCCATTCTGTCTCAAAATTGAGTGAGCATGATTCTGGAACAAGACACGCTGAGTTATTTCCACAACTTTTGATATTCGAATAGATTCTATCATCAGCTGGAGGTACGAAAGTGGATTGAAGTCGTTTCGATTGATAATAAATAGTTTTGACACAAAAAAATACTAAGATTGAAAAATCCCGATTTTGAACACCTTATATCTCTGTAATCATTCCTGCTAGACCTCAAGTGTGATACATTGATGAAATCAGCTTTTCAGGAAGAATCTAAAAATGCAATATAATACAGGATTTTCCATTTGAAATAAGAAAGTTGATAGTTGTTTCTGATAGAAGTGGCAACACTGTATCAATGAAAATATTTCAGACGGATTGAGAATGTTCAATTACCAAAGCAACCCAATTTTCAGAATGCTTTGTCTCTTCGTTCTCCAGATACTTCTAATAGGCCATCCACCGTGGATCACCATGTATATCATTACATAATATATGGAACGGTGGTTGGGGAGACAGAACTAGTCGGGCCTCCACAAAAGCTAATGGACAGTTCAGATACTATAATTATCTTTGGTATCTATTACTGGTGCAATGAGACCGTGTCCTACTGCCACAATGGAGGTGATTGTAGAACTCGTTTCGCTACATTTAGTTGTGAAGAATGCGGCAGACGAAACATACAGAATGATTAGAGAAGGTGTGAAAAAGTCCATACTGCTCAAAGTGGAGTGGTAGTATTTGAAGAAAGAATAAATCTCTTAATGCTTCAAACCGCTGAGCTCTATGGTTATCAGCTCTCAGATGGTTTGGGAATACCGTGGAAAACTGTACGAGATAGCCAAGTAGCCAACAGAACCAACCTTCTATGAGTTACGAGATATTCCCGAGTAGAAGAAAATTGAGTAGCGGACAAACTCGCTAGGAAAGGAGATCAAACACCCTTCTGCGGGATCAGCAGCAGTACTGTTTCAGAATAAATTCTAAAAGGGGGAAGCTAAACAGAGATTACACATCTGGGAATATCTACAAGGTCTAAGACAGCCGGAGATATACTAGATATACTACTGGGTACATGTATTCACGAAAGATCGAACGCATATCTCAGCCTAAGTAAAGATAAACTTCGTTTAGGACACTGCCGGTTGGAGGGACATCTCAAGAAGCTCCGCTGGAAACAGGAACGAATTCATGTTCTGTGGGGGAGAGGAGGAAAACTCTATCGACATACTTACGTAATGTATCCACCAACAGAACTCACATAATAGAGGAGGAGCAGCTACCCTACCTGGAGCTATCTCTCATATCCTGGAATATCTGAGAGATATATAGGCCTAAAGATATTGCCATAGTCCCGTTACGGGGAACAACCTCATCAGGTATAGCAAAGGAAGGGGGCACAATAGATCTTTAAGGTCGCAGGGTGTTCTCCTCTTATGCATTCAATACAATATCACGCTTATATTATTTAGGTCATTATGTATATTTCTATACAGGGTATCCTGAAATCACATTTCAACCATAGATTCAAGGAACAAGAATAGTTGAAATAATTCATATGAACATGAGCCCAGAAAGGGCCTCCTGAGGAGTTATAGCCATCTGAAAGAGGGCCCGAACAAACTGCCGAAAATTGCATTGAAAAAAAAGTTGGGATAAGGAATGCCCCTAGTCTCACCTATTTCCACGCCCCTGATCAAACTTTCTGGAAATTCTTCTTCCAAATCAAGCATGTACAGTTATACACATGCACAGAATGACACACAGAGGAATTCGGAACTATTTACATAAAGACATCATCTCGAACTTCCCTTTAGATAGCTATAACTCCCGATGGGGCCATTTCTGAACTTTTTCCACCATCTTTGTTCCTAGAATCTGTGGTTGAGATCTTTCTATGTGATTTCGTGACACCCTGTATATCACGGAATCTTCCAAGATTTTTACACACTTCAAAATGTCGAATTGAATTGAAACTTCGCACATTCATCAAAAACTGATGGAAATAGAATGGATTTAATAGTTTTGTTTCAACATACTGATCGGGATTTTCAAGATGAGCGATTATCCATTTCTCGAATAGAATGGTGAATGATGTTTTGCCACCAACATTTCAAAATGTTCTTTAGCGAAACTTTCAAATATTCGTTTTTATTCCTTCGAATGATTGTACAATGCTTCTTTCTAATCCAGAAACACACTGATCAAAGATCTTCAGGATGAGGGATTATTCTTTTCTCTAAAAAAATGATGAATGATGATTTGCCACCAACATTTCAGAATGTTCGTTTGCCAAAATTTTAAATACTCGTTTTTACTCCTTCAATAATTATACAATGGTTTTTTCAAATTCAGAAACACACTGATCAAGGATCTTCACAATGAGCGATTATTCTTTCTTCGAATAGAATTGTTAATGATGTTTTGCCACCACCATTTCAATATGTTCTTTCGCCAAAATTTCGAATATTCGTTTTTATACCATCGAATAATTACAATGCTTTTTTCTAATGCAGAAACACACTGATCAAGGAGCTTCAGAATGAGCGATTATTCTTTCCTTGAATAGAATGGTCAATGATGTTTTGCCACCACCATTTCAATATGTTCTTTCGCCAAAATTTCGAATATTCGTTTTTATACCATCGAATAATCACAATGTTTTTTTTTAATGCATAAACACACTGATCAAGGATCTTCAGGATGAGCGATTATTCTTTTCTGGAATAGAATGGTGATTGATGTTTCAACATCAACATTTCAAAATGTTTTTTCGACAAAATTTCTAATATTCGTTTTTATTCCTTCAAATCATTATACAATGCTTCTTTCTAATCCAGAAACACACTGATCAAAGATCTTCAGGATGAGGGATTATTCTTTTCTCTAAAAAAATGATGAATGATGATTTGCCACCAACATTTCAGAATGTTCGTTTGCCAAAATTTTAAATATTCGTTTTTACTCCTTTAATAATTATACAATGGTTTTTTCAAATTCAGAAACACACTGATCAAGGATCTTCAGAATGAGCGATTATTCTTTCCTCGAATAGAATGGTCAATGATGTTTTGCCAGTTATTGCCACCACCATTTCAATAAGTTCTTTCGCCAAAATTTCGAATATTCGTTTTTATACCATCGAATAATTACAATGCTTTTTTCTGATGCAGAAACAACTGATCAAGGAGCTTCAGGATGAGCGATGATTATTCTTTTCTCGAACAGATTGGTGAATGATGTTTTGCCACCAACATTTCAAAATGTTCTTTCGCCAAAATTTTGAATAATCGTTTTTATACCTTCGAATAATTATACAATGCTTTTTTCTAATGCATAAACACACTGATCAAGGATCTTCAGGATGAGCGATTATTCTTTTCTGGAATAGAATGGTGATTGATGTTTCACCATCAACATTTCGAAATGTTCTTTCGCCAAAATTTCTAATATTCGTTTTTATTTCTTCAAATCATAATACAATGCTTCTTTCTTATCCAGAAACACTCTGACCAAGGATCTTCAGGATGAGCGAATATTCTTTCCTCGAATAGAATGGTGAATTATGTTTTGCCACCAACATTCCAAAATGTTCTTTTGGCAA